CTATAGAAACAGAAACTTGATCTTACATTTAACGGACAACTTTATGTCATGAACCAATAAACATTATGGTACATTCATGAAAAACATAACCCATTGTAAATCCCAAACCTTAGGGGTGGACTGGCTTTAGGCAGGGAGGATTGATATACCTGAACCTACTGCAGCTTTGAAATCTTAGAAATTATGCTTGGCTTAAAGTACTCTGTTGGAATGATTTTATATCAACTTCTCCATCAGAAAAAGAGAAAGATTGTTCTGTGATGTGCTGTGAAGTTTTCCCATGAGGCCACAACCCATCTCTAAATTTATACATGTTAACTTAAGCTCATGCAAGTAAAATTTTGAAAGAGGGAATATGCAGCCACTGTCACCTGGAGAAGAGGTAAAGTGCAAAACAAACACAGCTGCCTAGGCAGGATAGGAAAGCTCAAGGGTTAGAAGGCTTTGAATGGGTCAAGTTCCTAGCATATCTTTAACTGAGCATGCACACACTGAGTTTGTGTCCTAACTTGCTTCCTTCCTGAAGTTTTGTTTGAAGGTTAACAGACAAAACTATTAGAGAGAAAGAATGCTTCCTCCCTTAGCTTGACTGTTCTTATGATTTCTCTCAAAGACCTCCTTTACATCCCAGTTGGAGTTAGTTGCAGCCACCTTGCAACATAGCTCAGCAGTTCAGCACCCAGGAACCTTAGGTAAGGGTTCACACTTCCAAGTCTAGGGTGACTAAAGAGATCCCTGCATTTCTATACAAAGTGTCACTCTCTCAGCATGTCACAGACTACCTCATCCATTCCTGCCATACTCCATAGAGCAGGCAGCATCCTGGTCTGTATTAGTGCAGGCTATACCCTAGCTTGTAGATGCAGTTCTCCTAGCAACTTTGACTCAGCAGTGAACACCCTCATGCTGAACTTCTGCAGTGGGAGGCAAAGTGAGACCAGCATTCGCTTACCCAAGACAATCATAGCCAAGGATCTGCTGGTCAGCTCCCACATACCATCAACACAAAGACCTCCAAATCCCTTCTTTGGTCAAGAATTGGCAGCAGGGAATGGGAACTCCAAATCTGACATCAAAATAAACTACTTTCTAAATAGAGTATTTTTAAAAAATAGGGTACGATTGTAAAAGGTTCCAGTATCTGAACACTGAAGCCTGATCCTACAAGATGCTGAGTTACCTAAATCTCCATAGCAGTAGGAGGAGCACTCACATTGTAGCCCTGGTCAGATTCTCTGAATCTGCAAATCCTGCTGAACAGCTAGCACTACAGTATAACCAAACACTATGTCTATGCCTGCAAACTGACGTAGTCGTCAGCATAACCGACCAACTGTACCTGAAGGTCAGTGCAGTTGTCAGTGTCATTCAAAAGGGTCCTCATCAGGGCTGACGCTGAGGATAATATCAACAAATATCAAAGGGCTCTTGGGTGCCAAACACCACCTGATAGCCAAAATGTGCACAGACTACAGCTGCCAGCTGTTATGCCTCCAGGAGACATGCAGATGGATCAACAATAACTGTCTCCAGTTACTAGAGATGAACTTGGCCATCAAAAGACACAGAAGCAATATGGCAGCACCATTTTAATCAAAGCCTGATCTTGTCATTAACACATCTGTGACCAACAAGGACAACATTCAAGCCCTGACTGCTGTGACACTGGTGGCATTTCCATCATGTCTTTCTACAAACCATCAGCCAAACAGGTCAAGTTTGGTAGCCCACATAACCTCAAACATAACAAAACATGGGTGATCATTGGTGACTTTAACAGTCCAGAGTCAAATGAGGCAATAGGATAATTGATGAAAATGAAGAATTAGTTGAACTGTGGCCATGGGCACACCACTTAATTCATAAACCCATCTTGGAAATGAGCAAAACAGAAAAACGGCCAGATATGGGACATTAGATGGGGAGGTCTCTGAGTTACCACAGAGAATTCTTTCCAAGGTATCTGCCTGGTGGGTCTTGCCCACATGCTCAGGTCTAACTGATCACCATATTTGGGGTCGGGAAGGAATTTTCCCCTGGGTGAGATTGGCAGAGACCCTGGGGGGGGGGGTGCCTTCCTCTGCAGCATGGGGCATGAATCACTTACAGGTTTAAATTAGTGTTAATGGTAAATTCTCTTTAACTTGAAGTCTTTAAATCATGATTTGAGGGCTTCAGTAACTCAGCCAGAGGTTAGTGATCTATTTTTAAATTGCTTCCAAACAAAAGTTGATAGGACAAAAGTCCATATGTGGATGTGCAGCTATTCCAATGACCCAGATACATGTGACTGTGATGAAACAAACCATGGAACATCTGTTGGTCTACCAGCTCCTGGAGGAACCGTGCACCATGGAAGATCTCACCAGGGCTACAGACCAGGACATATTATGAAAAGCCTATGGTTGTGTGGTGGAAGGACAGAGGAAAACCTAAATCTCTGTGGGAAGTGATGGCAGTCAGAACTTCAAACCAGCAAAGCAAAACATTGTCCTTTAATTACTGCTATTGATTTAAGGAGATTCTCTGACCTTAAAAGACCATATTTTGAATAGAAAACTTTATTTACCATATGTTGGAATCCAAAGTAGTATATTTTGCACACACACAAAAAAGATAGAAAATGTGCATGTTTGAGAAAGACCGAGTAGAAGACCTTAATCAGTGGGTAAAGGGAAGACTAATCAAAAGAATCAAGAGAGCTTTTTCAGGATCATATCAACTTTGTTTTACGATTGTGCTTATTTTTAAGAGCTCTCTGAGCAAGGCTGCATCCACGGTTGTTCATAGAGAATGAAAAGCAGTAACCTTGTAGTATGAGAGAACGGAATAATCAATTTAACTCAAGTGAAACTTGCCTGTCAACACACGCACACATGTATGTTCATTCTAAACCAAACAGAAATACAGTGGAATTATTTTCCTCCTACCTGTTTCTCTGTGAGAATGACTCTCCCTAGGAGTTGATCTTCTAGACCTTTCATGGTCACAGTAAAGTCAATAATGGATGTGCGGGCACTAATTTCAGGGGTATATGCTGGATTTGGGAGCTTGGTGGTGATGTAAAGTCTGAAGCCATTCATGACATCTACTTCTTTATCACCAACTTTTACCTTATTGCAAAACACAATGAGATATTATGAAACAGACAGATGAATTGAAAAGCACTGATAGTAAGGGTCACATTCTTACAACATAGTTCAGAATACACAAGTTAAATTTTTCTGCTACTGCATTTTGGAAAGATCTAACTTAAAAAGCCAATTCTATATTAAAAAACTGTGCAAAGATAATATCCATGCCGTGCCTCAAACTACTTGTTCAGAAACTTGTCTGATTCTGTAATTTCTGCACAATTATGCATGCAATAATTAATTTACAATACAGCACAATGGGGTTTTAAATAGGATTTTCTTCTAATGCTTATAATCCCGTTTAAGACTAACAGAAGAAGAAAAATGCAGGGTTTAAATATCTTGGCTATCCACAAATCCAAACATAAGGCTATCATAGCTGTACAGAATTAGCATTATTTTAACATTTTAATGCACTCCCCTACAGTTATATTTTCTTCTTTTACCTTATAGGAAGAACCAGTTTTGATGAAGTTTTTCTCCAAAACATTATCCAATGCTGGATCAAGCTCTTCCCCAACATCTTCAATCAGCAGTGGCCTTCCAAGAGAAAGGCTGTCCTCTAAGTGGTTTCTGAAATACTTGTGATTCAGATATGTGATCTAGAAATAAACCATGTAGCCAGTATATTATGCCTCACTTCGTTATGAGAGCAGTGGTAAAAGAAAATGTTTTTAGTATGTTTACTATGGTTATGTTATTGAAAGAGACACTAGCTAAAGACCAAGATCAAGGAAAAGGGGTGTGATTTCAGAATGCTCAATATTAGTTGAACTACTCTCATTCTCCATGAGGAGCTGGCTGGGAATTTTTCAGCTCATTTTTCTGTTGAAAACTGCCAATTAACTGACATTGTGAAACACGGTCAATTCTGACAAATTTCACAACCTGAAAAAAGTTGAGAAAAAAATTGTACATGTCAAAACAAAACACTGACATTTTATAAACAAAAAAAATCAATTTTTTTTATAGTTTGAATGACTTTTTATTTAGAAATGTAAGCTAGACTAAAAAAGAAAACAGGTCAAAATCAAACCTGACCAAAATTATCAAGACAAAACCTTTCAAGTTACCTGAAATGAAAATGAAAAATCTGGTTTTTGGTTTACAAATATATTCACAATTTTGACTTTTTATCATGATTCAAGAGAGGAAAATATTTTCTACTTGAAAATATGTGTGGGCCAGAAAAACTGTTTCCCACTCAACTATAGTCAAGGGTAAAACTTCTGTTAACTTCAGTGGGAGCAGAATTAGGCCAACACTAAGCATTTTTGAGAGTCTCACCCCCCAAATTCATAAACTTGTTCCAAAAGTTCAACCACTTGATTCATCACCATGGGACTCCAGTTTTGCATAGGTTTAATTCCACTAGAGTAAAGTGGAATACAGCAGTGGTAAACCCAATCCTAAATTTAACTTCTTCCTGTATAAAATGTTTTGCATGGTACAAATCATGCATCAGATTTGCTTTTTAAGCTTAAAACTCAGCTGCTTTTCTCATCCCAACAAAACAAGACCAATAATAAGGTAAATCATCACAGTCTAGTTTCTTTGCTCTTGTCTAATTCAAATCCAGTAAAACTTCATTAATATCACTAGTTATACAATTGTTACCAATGTATAAGAGATGCAGAACAGTTTTCAGGTACCAGTTACAGATAAATACAAGGCTCATGCTTGGGAGGCGCTCCTTCTAAATAACCACAAACCTACATCATTAACCACCTTCAAATTCCCCTTAAACTCCTTTGCCACAATGTCTACAAAAAACTCAACCATTAGGCCACTGGTACGCTAAGACCACTGCCAACATACTGATCAATATCATCTCATTGTTTCCTTGTACTCTCCCATCTGTCTGTATCCATCTGATGTCTCTTGTTTTAGACTTAGATTGTAAACTCTTTGGAGTGGGGACCATCTTTTTGTTCTGTGCTTGTATAACACCTATCACAATGGGGTCCTGGTCCATGACTAGGGCTCCTAGGTGCAACACTAATAAAAGAATAATGATAATAAAATAAAATAAAATAAAACAACAATAATGGCTATTTATCTCCAATTCAGCAGAAAGCTATGGAATAGTGTGATGCTGTGTCTGCTGATTTTTTAGTACATCAGCATAATGCAGGGTGCAGTCTGGTCTCCCACGTTTAAGAAAGATTAATTCGAACTGGAACAGGTGCAGAGAAGGGCTACTAGGATGATCAGAGGAATGGAAAGCCTACCTTACGAGAGGAGAGACTCAAAGAGGTTGGCTTGTTTAGCCTAATCAAAAGAAGGCTGAGGGGAGATATGATTGTTCTCTATAAATACATTAGAGGGATAAATAAATACCAGGGTGGGGGAGGAGTTAAGTGTCAATGTTGACATAAGAACTAATGGATATAAACTGGCCATCACCAAATTTAGCGTTGAAATTAGATGAAGGTTTCTAACCATCAGAGGAGTGAAGTTCTGGAACAGCCTTCCAAGGGGAGCAGTGGAGGCAGAAAACCTAACTGGCCTCAAGATTGAGCTTGCTAAATTTGTGGGTGGGGATGGTCTGAAGAGACTCCCTACTATGGAATGTAGCCAATCTGCAACTGCTAGCAGCAAATATCTCCAAGGGCTAGTGATGGGACACTAGATGGGGGGGGGCTCTGAGTTACTACAGAGAATTTGTTCCCATCTGTCTTGCTGGTGGGTCTTGCCCACAGGCTCAGAGTCTAACTAACTTGTCTTTGGGACTGGGAACAAATTTTCCCCTAAATCAGATTGGTAGAGACTCTGAGGGTTTTTCGCCTTCCTCTGCAGCATAGAGCATGGGTCACTTGCTGGTTTAAATTTGTGTAAAGAGTGGATTCTCTAAGTCTTTAAATCATGATTTGAGGACTTCATTAACTCAGCCAGAGGTTAGGAGTCTATTACAGGAGTGGGTGGGCAAGGTTCTGTGGCCTGCAATGTGCCTGCAGTCAGACTAGATGATCATGATGGTTCCTTCTGGTCTATGAGTCTATAAGAGAACAAACTATGGCATACACATTTTCATTTTCCTAGGGTTAATGGCATACAACATTTTCCTTGTAGAATTTATCAGGTCTTCCATCTGCACACTAACAGCCACATTCTTCATTGGATTATGCTTCAAGCAAGCCCACTGAAACCAACAGGTTTGCCTGGTTACAAGGTAACAAAGGGGAGAATTTGCGCTAGTGCTAAATGCTAAATCTACCTAGAGTGTACACTGACTGCATGCAACAAAATATTAGCAAGAGATGTTAAGAGCAACAAGAAGGGTTTCTTCCGGTATGTTAGCAACAAGAAGAAAGTCAAGGAAAGTGTGGGCCCCTTACTGAATGAGGGAGGCAACCTAATGACAGAGGATGTGGAAAAAGCTAATGTACTCAATACTTTTTTTGCCTCTGTCTTCACGAACAAGGTCAGCTCCCAGACTGCTGCACTGGGCAGCACAGCATGGGGAGGAGGTGACCAGCCCTCTGTGGAGAAAGAAGTGGTTCGGGACTATTTAGAAAAACTGGATGAGCACAAATCCATGGGGCCGGATGTGCTGCATCCGAGAGTGCTAAAGAAGTTAGCGGATGTGATTGCAGAGCCACTGGCCATTATCTTTGAAAACTCATGGCTATTGGGGGAGGTCCCGGATGACTGGAAAAAGGCTAGTAGTGCCCATCTTTAAAAATAGAACTGCAGGCCAGTCAGCCTCACCTCAGTCCCTGGAAAAATCATGGAGCAGGTCCTCAAGGAATCAATTCTAAAGCACTTAGAGGAGAGAAAAGTGATCAGGAACAGCCAGCATGGATTCACCAAGGGCAAATCATGCCTGACTAACCTAATTGCCTTCTATGAGGAGATAACTGGCTCTGTGGATGAGGGGAAAGCAGTGGATGTGTTATTCCTTGACTTTAGCAAAGCTTTTGATATGGTCTCCCACAGTATTCTTGCTGGCAAGTTAAAGAAGTATGGACTGGATGAATGGACTATAAGGTGGATAGAAAGCTGGCTAGATCATCGGGCTCAACGGGTAGTGATCAATGGCTCCATGTCTAGTTGGCAGCCAGTATCAAGCAGAGTGCCCCAAGGGTTGGTCCTGGGGTCAGTTTTGTTCAATATCTTCATTAATGATCTGGAGGATGGAGTGGACTGCACCCTCAGCAAGTTTGCAGATGACACTAAACTGGGAGGAGTGGTAGATACACTGGAGGGTAGGGATAGGATACAGAGAGACCTAGACAAATTAGAGGATTGGGCCAAAAGAAACCTGATCAGGTTCAACAAGGACAAGTGCAGAGTCCTGCACTTAGGACAGAAGAATCCCATGCACTGCTACAGACTAGGGACCGAATGGGTAGGCAGCAGCTCTGCAGAAAAGGACCTAAGGGTTACAGTGGACGAGAAGCTGGATATGAGTCAACAGTGTGCCCTTGTTGCCAAGAAGGCTAACGGCATTTTGGGCTGTATAAGTAGGGGCATTGCCAGCAGATCGAGGGACATGATCATTCCCCTCTATTCAACATTGGTGAGGCCTCATCTGGAGTACTGTGTCTGGTTTTGGGCCCCACACTACAAGAAGGATGTGGAAAAATTGGAAAGAGTCCAGCAAATGGCAACAAAATTGATTAGGGGGCTGGAGCACATGACTTCTGAGGAGAGGCTGAGAAACTGGGATTGTTTAGTCTGCAGAAGAGAAGAATGAGGGGGGATTTGATAGCTGCTTTCAACTACCTGAAAGGGGGTTCCAAAGAGGATGGATCTAGACTGTTCTCAGTGGTACCAGATGACAGAAGAAGGAGTAATGGTCTCAAGTTGCAGTGGGGGAGGTTTAAGTTGGATATTAGGAAAAACTTTTTCACTAGGAGGGTAGTGAAGCACTGGAATGGGTTACCTAGAGAGGTGGTGGAATCTCCTTCCTTAGAGGTTTTTAAGGTCAGGCTTGACAAAGCCCTGGCTGGTATGATTCAGTTGGGAATTGGTCCTGCTCTGAGCAGGGGGTTGGACTAGATGACCTCCTGAGGTCCCTTCCAACCCTGATATTCTATTCTATGATTCTATGCAACGTAGGTAGTATATAAGCATTATAATTGCTAGCTACAACCTGAACCCCCCCTATTAGCCAAGCATTTGGGCCGCTATGTAAGAGCTACTAGAGGGTATGAAATGTCTGCATTCAAGTTACCTGAAGTTCATTCTTGGTTTCCTTATTTTTAATCCAAATTTTGCCCTGAGTCTGTGGATCAATTAACAAAGGATAACGAGCTGCTTTCGTGGCAATAATTCCATTCTGTATGGATAGGTCATCGTTTGGCAATCCTTGGAGGTTCCACTCACTGATGGTCGGAGCATCAATCAACATCTCTGTAAGGTTTAGGTTGTTGCCAAATGGGATTTTCCGGGTTTTCATTTCCTTTTGCCAATCATTTAACAACAGATTGCGGAACTCTTGGTTAAAAGGACCAGAATACGATAGAAAAGCTGTAGCCAGCAACACATCTCCTAAAAAAAAAAAAGCACAAGATACTGAAACACTGTGACAGCTTTGTTAGGGTAATACATGTGCTTGGATGAAACAAACAAGAGAGACAGGCAAAGCTTCCAACAGGACCTACAGTATAATTTTTTGTGGAAGGGCAGATTTATTTGCTTGACTATGCTGTGTGCAAAATATCACTGAAAATGTTTTTTTTTCCTAATTCTAACCTCATGATTTTATTGAGACTTTGGGACCATTTAAAAAATATAGTTTTTCAAAGGTGTTCTGAAAATTCCCAGTGTATCATACCAGCAAGGGTCTGTTGTCTGGCTATAACAAAAGAAGGACCGGAGACATTTGACATGGGTTTAATTAGGCCGCAACAGTATTATTAGATGTCTGGGACTACCCGGCAGATAAAAGTGTACAGTACAAGTAACCCCATGTTTATTCCATAATTATCTGGGGGGCTTCCACCAGCTCCCCCCATTTTTCCATCCAGGTCTCTCCAGCAAATCCATTGCCAGGATTTTACCATCCACCCTAGGGTTACCATATTTCAGCAAGCAAAAAAAGGACGGGAGGAGCCCCACCCCGTCCTGCCCTGGCCCCGCCCCATCCTGCCCTAGCCCCGCCTCTGCCCCTCCCACTCCCCCCCTCAGAACCCCCAACCCTCCCCCCGCCCCTTGTCCCGTGACTGCCCCCTCCTAGGACGCCTGCCCCTAACTGCCTTCCAGGACTCCACCCCCTACCTAAGCCTCCCTGCCTCTTGTCCCCTGACTGCCCCACGATCCCCCCCAAATGCCCCCCAGGACCGTACCCCCTACCTGTACCCTGACTGCCCCAACCTTTATCCACACCCCCACCCCCAGACCAGACCCCCTGGGACTCCCA